GCACTCAAAACAGGACAAAGCTCAAGTGTTTTGATCATTTACTGGATTAGATGCTCCATCCTAGTACCTACTTGACTGCTCTAGCCCCTCAGGAGTAGTCCTTTCTGGAGAAACACCCCAGGAAAAACCAAGCCACACACACAATGCAGAGACAACTGTTTTGATCCAAGCAGGCATTCTAAAACTTGGCTCTAGTTTCAAATATTTATTTTTTATTTAAGATTTATTTATGCATACAAGAATTGGGGTACAGGCCAGAGGTGCAGGGGGATGGGAGGATTCACCAGAGAAAGAGTGGAGAGCAGAACAGGCAGACTGACTGAAATAAACTGCTGAGGGGGGCATCTGGTGGGTTAGGAGAGGTCTGCTGCATTATGTGTGGGTCAGCTCCCAGGGGGGTGGGGCATCAAACTCGTGCTGCAGTGGCTGCCCATAGCTTCATAATGTGTGCTTTAAGGCTAAAGCCTTACACCACCAGGGAGGCAAGTTTCGAATAATTATTACCATGAAAATAACCTAAGGATATTTTCATATATTAAAATCCTGAAAAACCTTTACAAATCTGAAGATCCAGGCACACCCTAGAGCAATTAAATCAGATTCTCGGTGGGTATGACCCATGTACAAGGCTGATTTTGTTGTATTAATGTCCCAGGTGATTCCAATGAGCAATTAAGTTGCAAATGACTGATGAAATGTCATCATGCCTGTGAGCCCATATTGGGATTTTGCATAAGGACAGTTCTAATGCAGTATGTCTGAAGGGGGCCTAATAAGCTCCAAGGTGATGTAACAAGGAGCTGATGTCTAGACTTTCATGCATATATCTACAGAGATACATAGAAAAATACTCACTGCAGTACTGTTTGTGATAAAAAATATTGAGTCACCTAGATATCCATCAAAGGATAAATTAGCAGTGCTATGTTCATATAATGACATACTGTATACATTTAAAATGAATAAATTATGGCTACATATATAATCATAAAGCTCAAAAACAATATTAAAAAAAAAAAAAAAGGCCTCCCTGGTGGCACAGAGGGTAAAGTCTCAGCATGATCAAGCTCTTGCCAGCCACTGCAGCATGAGTTGGATCCCACAGTAAAGAGTTGACCTACATGGTGCTGCAGACCTCTCCTGTCTCCCCTGCTGCTCCCCTTAGCAGAATATTTCAGTACATCTCCCTGTTCTCTCCCCACTCTGTCTCTGAGGAACCTTCTCATCCCCTACAATTCTAGTCTAACACCCCAGTTCTTATATACCTAAGTAAATAAAATCTTTTTTAAAAAAGAAAAAAAAAGTGTATCATAACGCCTGCCATTACATTAATTTGGAAAGTAGAAACAATAATACTATATACTGTTTATGAATACACATGGTATTTATGTAACAATATATATGGAAATAATAAATACCAAATTCAGGACTGTGGATTTATCTGAGGAGAAAAGAGCTTGCACAGTGGGTTTTAGCTTAATCTATAATGTCTTATTTCTTTTAATAATATCAGAATATAATGAAATGTTAGATTAGATAGCATTGGGGAGCTCAATGATGAGTACATGTATGTCTATTTGATTATCCTCTATACTTTGCACATATGAAATGACTTGTATTTAGGTTTTTAATTAATGTAATTCATATTCATAACAGCATTATTCGCAATAGCCAAGGAGGAATGACCCAAATGTCCAGGGACAGATGAGCAAACAACGTGTGGTCTATACATACAATGGAGTATTATTCAATCTAAAAACAAATTCTGATACATATAACAACACAGATGAAACTTGTGGACACTATGGTAAATGAAAGAAAACAGTTACAAAAACATAAATACTATCTATGATTCCATTTATTTGCAGTACCTAGTGAGGTCAAAACCACAGAAAGTAGAATGATGGCTGCCAGTGACTAAGGGAAGGAGAAATAGGGAGTTATTGTTTAATCAATTAGGAAGTTTCAGTTTGGGAAGATTGAAAAAAGTTCATGATGATGATTTTGCAACACTGAAGATGTATCTTATGCCACTGAATTGTAGACATGATATGATAAATTCTCTGCAGTGTCTAATGTAAAATTTTTACATTTTTAATTTCAAAATCATGATGATATATTTCCATCCATAAGTATTTATTTCCATCAATACAAGACCAATAAAAAACATTCTAGAACGCAGTCAAAAAGAAAGAGCTAGATTCACCTGTACAAGTGTTGAATGACTGCCAAGAAATATTGTCACAACAAGAATGTGTATGGCAGGTCACCATTCACACTGCTAAGGCTTTCTCAGAAAAAATACACCAGAATCTGTGATCACCTTCAAGGAGGGAAATGAAGTTCAGTGGTGATTCTAGAACTTACCTATTCAGAAAAATCAACCAATTTCTTTAAATCAATTTTCTAAATTACTCATACTGGAATTCACACCTAACAGGCCAATCCTAAAAAACTGAGAATCAAAAAGATTCAGTACATGACAGAACTTGGACCAGTTTTCCTAGTAAGTACTCTTTCAAAATGTTTGAAATACTTAATAAAAATGTCTCCTTCTGTACTGTTCATTGAAACAAACATTTTCCCTTAAAATATATATAAAGAAATTTCTTTTAATTAACTTCTTTGGTTAAAGTATTTAAAATTTAAGCATAGTTTTTATATTGGCAAAATTTCCACATTTAATAAAATTTGTTGTGTATAAGTCTTGTTTAATGAAAGATTTTTCTTCCCGTTTAGGGTTTTCATTGGCCATTTTAATATAGCTTCCATATCCATTGTTGTTCAAATAACCTAAAATGTATAAGCAATGAATTTGTACAGCAAAAGATATCTTTAAAAACACTGAAAAAAATTATGCACACAGCTGCCGTTATATATGTACATATGCACGTGTGTAATACACATATACATGTATCTCATTCCAATGTGCTGCCTCCCCCATTGTGTGTACTTTGGCCGCTGAGGCTGTAAGTGAATACAGTTCTCCAAAGCTCCGAAAGACAAATGTACCTTTCTTTTTTTTTTTTTTTTTTTTTAAGATTTGGCATACGAGATGTCGAGCAGTGACTGGAG